GTCTTGGAAAGGTTCCAAATGTATCAGAAATTAAAATGAGCTTAAAGCTGGCAATGGGTGGGGGTGGTGAAGGAAATAAATCAAGAAATGTGATCTCAGTATAAGTTACGGTTTGAAAACTTGCATTAAAAGAATGATTGATTTGTTGTTCGTCACACTATTTTATCCTGCCTTTCACACCTCTGTCTGAAGCCTCATAGATTAGGGAACAAAGTGGCATTGATTAGTCTCTCCATAAGAACAAGATTGTCCTTCGGGGAAAATCAGCTTCTAAAGATACCCTCCAGAATTCCAGAAGCTCTAAGAGTGACACACGACTTAATATTTACCTATTGTCCTTCTTTTGAAAAACAAAGGTGGGGGAAAAAAAGAACAGAACGATACTGATGCTGTAAGAAAAAAAATAGTTAAAAGACAGTGGACATTTGCGCTTCAATTTGAAATGCAAACAACACAAACTCATCCCCAACAGCCCGCACCAGTGAGTGTTCAACAGTGAAAGGAAACATGGCAGAAAACATCCTGCAGGAAGCACAGCTCCAACGTCTCAACGAAAGAATACCCTGTTTTCCCGAAAATACGACCTACCCTGAAAGTAAGTCCTAGCTTGATTTTTATACAGGTGCCCAATGTAAACCCTACCCCCAAAATAAGCCCTAATTAAGATTCCACCCACTCCAGAGTGCAGGGGTAAAAGTTAAGCTAGGGTGGGGATGGGGAGGTGGAGGCGGAGGCGGAGCTGCTCTCCTACTTACCTTTGGACAGTTGTAGCCTGGCCTCGCACACCCAAACACTTGCCTCGCTGGCCCATTTCTTCTGCAGCCGGCAAGGCTGGCAAGGCTTTCCTGAAGGCCTCTGTAGCTGATAACAAAGCTCCGGATGAATCCGGAGCTCTGTTATCGGCTGCAGAGGCCTTCAGGAAAGCCTTGCCAGCCACAGAAGAAAAAGTTCCTGAAGGTCTCTGACAGCGAAAAGGAGGCTGGGGGTGACGTGCACAAGTGAGGTTAGTCAGTGGATGACATCCCCTGAAAATAAGACCTGGTGCCTTTTTTGGTGGCAAAATATATATATACTGTATAAGGCAGGATCTTATTTTTGGGAAAACACAGGTAAGACAGATTAATTTTACAATTTAGGTTTTGAAAGAGAGAGTGGAACACAAACTCTAAGAGCTGAAATTAGGTCTACCAACAGAAATACTGGAAGAAGTCACAGAATTTATGAAGAAGGCACAACTAGCACAATGCAACAAGAGCAAAGACGCCATCTACGTTAAAAATGAACAGCCATCTCTCAATAGAGGGGGAAGGATATGACACCACCTATCTCCTGTTTACAACACAGTCCTTTCAGCAGTTCTGAAAAGGTTCCACACCTATTTACAGTATTCAGGTGGCCCTCAGGGGCCTCAATGACCCACAAAAGAGTGCTAACAACCAGATGATTGCAAGGAATATAAATCGTTCCATTCTCCACCAGTCAGTCAGTACTAAAGAAGTTTCTTGAATGAAAAGTGAAACATCTTCAAGGAAAAAGGGAAGTCCAGTTGCCTTTTGAAAAAGCACCTATGGGACAACCATGACCTGGATGATTGAGAATCTCCATAGATATTTAAAAGACAGTGACATGATCTTGGAGGCCTATGGGGAATTTGTGGCTGCATGCTTCACTTAGTATTTTACAGTTATACTTTATTTTCCGATTTTTTAAAATGTTCAGGCCTTATTTCGAGGTATTTGTTATGATTCAACATATTTAGTTCTTTCCTACATTCCTCCATGTGGGAAAATATAGATGGTTTTCTTCAGCTTGCCAGAAGCAGCCCTCAACCAATCAGTTGCCAACTGATAGATTTGTGTCCACTTGAGACTTGTTTTTCTATATAAAGAAAAAGCAAAATTTTGTTCTGACCTAGGCTTACTGAGTCATTAAAACACAAGAGTAGTCCCAAAAACTTTTTATTGCAAAAGCTGTGAATTACATTCATTCACAGCTGAGTCCCAATTAGTTGCAAAAAGTCCTTTGGGAGAAGGCCTTCGGGATAATCATCAACCTTTATCTCCCTTGACACTCTGCCAAAGACCTATTTCGCAAAGCCACATGGATTCCAGAATCAAACAGAGATGCCAACTGGGAACAGAATTAACAACGTTGCTTTCCTGCAAAGTGCCCACATGCCTTTGCTCCTCTTTTAAACCTTATGGGAGGGGGCAATCATCTCCAGGCCTTACTTCCGAGTTGTCCCTTTTGTTTTAACTGTTCATGCCTTCTGGCAGTTCTGTGCATAAGCGCACTAGGAACAGGCTCCTCCTGTTCCTCTGTCTCTCTGCTGTCCAACTCTACAGGCTCTGGAGTCCATGCATCACTCCCAGATGGCCATGGCCCCATCTCTGCCTCCAACGCAGAGCCCTCGTCTGGGCCTTCCCCAGAGTCCAGGACTGGCCCATGTTCCTCCCCAGCCTCCTCACTGTCCGACTCCGCTGCCAGCTCCACAGGCTGCTGGCGGACCACAACAGATTTTTTAAAAAAGGGAGGGAAGGAAGGAGGAATGAAGGAAAAAATAAATTAAAGCTGTCATTTTAAAGGGGATAATATAAGATGTAGAAATGTACAAGAATTTCTCCATATATTTCATTGTGAGCAAATTTGATTGTACAAGTAGTCCACAACTTACAACAGCTCATTTAGTGACCGTTTGAAATTACGACACCACTGAAAAAAAGTGACGTATGACCATTTTTCACACTTATGAAAGCATCCCCATGGTCACATGATTTACATTTGGATGCTTGACAGCTGGTTTATATTTATGACGGTTGCGATATTCCCGAGGTCATGTGATTATCTTTTGCGACTTTCTGACAAGCGAAGCCAATGGGGAAGCCAGATTTATTTAACAGCCATGTTTCTCATTTAACAACTGCAGTGAGTCACGTAACAAATGTGGCAACAAAAGTCATAAAAGAGGACAAAACTCACTTAACAAATTTCTCACTTAGCAACATAAATTCTGGCACCAATTGTGGTTATAAGTCAAGGACTACCTGTACTTTTGGTGCCATCCAAGGAAAGTTCATTTTCTCCACAAGAGGGAGGGAAGATAGATGGGCAAAGTGATACTTTCACTTTTAAAAAGTCCTGAATGAGCATTGAACATTCTCTTTATTTATCTTCGAAATACCATGTATGCTCATGGCATTTCACAGCCAGCCTTCTCCCTGTGTCCTGTTTTCAGGTCATAGGAATGGAAGAAGTTCATTCTTGGAGGAAAAGCAGCTTGTTTGTAAAAATCCTGCTGTGGGTGTGGGGGCTGCATAAAAGATAAGTAAAAGACTGCTCAGTCAACACTGCAGCTGCAGAATCTTCTCTGGGTTTATTGTTCTTCTAACCACTGATATTATCTTCATAGCATCACCAAGCTGCCATTAAACTGATGTTTGCGTGGCACAACAATGGATGGATTTTTCTAGAAGATGCTGTATGTTGCTTGTGGGGAAACAATTTGGGCTACTATGAAAAATACGAGATTTGAAGAGTTAAAATTTCAAGCTTGAAGAGGCTCTTCATCTCACACATTTTTTAAAAAAAGAATGTTTCTTCTCAGCAAACATCAAAGAAAGAACAAGAAAAAGAAAAGCCAGTAGACAGCAAACCCAAACTGATTTTTACTGATCTGCATATCCTTAGTGATCAAATGTCCTACTTAAAACAGACAGTTGTCGAAATGGAAAGTCTGTCATAACATATTAAAGATTTTTTTAAAATGAGACGGAACAGCAAAAATCTTGAAGTTGCCCAATAATGGACATGAACACATATACCAATGTCTTATTTATCAATGTCTTATTTGCTACAGTAAGATGTCATATATATCAACAATCTTATTTTATAAGGCCTTAAAAACTAGAAGGAACATTATAGTTAGTTATATATTTCATCTGTTACATTTTGATAAGCCTCAACAACTGTTGGGCAGGCTGACCTTCTAGAACTTTCCTACTGCCCAGCCCTTGTCAATATTGTAGGAACTGGCTTTTACAACAAGATAAATATGTATGTACACACACGCTCACTTCTCTTTATTTAGAAATGAAGATGAATGAAGGAAAGAGACCCAGTTTGGTCTAGTGATGAAAACATCAGGCTAGAAATCAGGAGACCATGAGTTCAAGTTCTGTCTTAATCATTAAAGTCAGCTGGGTGACTTTAGGCCAATCACATTCACTCAGTCTAACCAGGCCTGTCAAACTGGCAGCCCGCTGGCTGGATGCATCACATGCAGGCCACGCCCATCAGGCTCCGCAAAGGCAAAAAAGTCACGTGACATGATCAAGTTTGACACCCATTGGTCTAACCCATCTCACAGGGTTGTTGTGGGGAAAACAGGAGGAGGAAGGTGTGTTGGATATGTTTGCCATCTTGAGTTATTTGCAAAAATAATAAAGACAGGGAAGAAAGAAAGAAAGAAAGAAAGAAAGAAAGAAAGAAAGAAAGAAAGAAAGAAAGAAAGAGGAAGAAAGGAAGGAAGAAAAAAGGAAGAAAAAGGAAGAAAGGAAGAAAAAGAAAGGAAGGAAGGAAGAAAGAGAAAGGAAGTAAGAAAAGGAAGGAAGGAAGGACTTGGGAAGGAACATATATAGAACTGACAGAGTCCAGAAAGAGTGTGACCTAACTATCTATCTCACTTTTAAAAAGCAGAGCAGCACAGTGCAGCACAGCACAGAGCTGCTGTTCAAAAAAAAATAAAAAAGGAGTTTTAACCTTTCCTAAGAAAGAAGAAGAATTTTTTTTCATAGCCTTGGACATTATGCCCTGGCTTTTGAATGACCAGGGATTGCAAAAGACATAGAACACAAAAGCAAAGCCAAGACTTTCCTGGAGGGGGAGGTTAATAAAGTTAAGAGTTGTATATTATTTCCAAGTATCCAAGGAAACTGCTTTAATTAAACTCTTTTAACTGTAATTTTTACATGACTACGAAAAGCAATTCAGTTTATACATACCACTAAAGCATCGTGTAGTTTGTACTCAGTGGGATGAAGTTGATCAATGTAGCCCTGAATTGCAGACAAAAAAAAATATATCTTATTATGTAATTTTATTTATTTCTGTGTGCCTTTGAGTCAGTGTTGACTCCTGGCAATTACTTGGATCTTTGCAGAATGACTGCAGGAAAATTAGGAAACTAGCCACTACAATGATAAACCAGTGTCTTCTCATTAGGCCAACTAATGCTTTGACATCATGACACATCCACTCACCAAAAGAATAATATACATATTGATATAAATGAACCCATCTCCACTAGCAAAAGTGTAAAGCAAGGCTATATCCTTGTCCTGCTAATATTCAACTTTTGCATTAATGGCATTGTTGAGAGCTTCCCTAAGCCTGAATTCCATCTTCATTTCTTTGCCAGCTGCCTCATCTCTGATCTTCTTTATGTTGATGATGCAGCCATATTGTTTTTAACCAAAATAAGCCTCCAAAGATGCTTTAAAGCTCATTACTTTACTGCTCTAGAGAACACCTCAACATAAATTACTCCAAAACAAAAGTACTGATATTCTCTAGGAAACATTTCAAAGCCCCAACTAGATGGATGTTTAACAGTAAACCAGTGGTGAAATGTAAAATTTGTTACTCCTGGTTCTGTGGGCGTGGCTTGGTGGGGGAGGGGGTAATGTGACTGGGTGGCCGTGGCCAACTTTTTTTTTTTTAACTTTTAAAAGCATTTTTTCTACAACCTCTTTGGCCCAGGAGGTTGTAGAAAAAATGCTTTTAAAAGGCTCTGACGATCCCAGCTGAGCCACATGATCATCAGAGGCTTTTTATTTTTTTACTTTTAAAAGCATTTTTTTGGCCGAAGAAAAAATTTAAAAGTAAAAAAAAAAAAAAAAACCCTGGTTGGTTTGGGCGCCCGCGGGGGGCATGGGGGGGGGGGGGCGGCAGGGATTTTTGCTACCAGTTCACCAAACCACCTGCCACCATCACTACCAGATCAGGTGATCCAGACTAAATCAGGAGCATTTCACCCCTGCAGTAAACTCATCTAAATGAAGCTAAATCCTTTAAATATCTAATCTCTATTTTCAGTTGTTCTATTCAAACAAGGGACTTTCTATTAAAATCCCCCACAGCATCCCTTGCAATTAACTACATTTGCAGGCCAATTTGGCAACAATGATGCCCCAGGAGCTATTAAACTATTTAAAGCCAAAGTTCTGCATTTGATGCTACATGGTGCTCAGTTGTGTTTGTTTAAAGAGTCACCCAGTTTAGAAACAATCCAAAGAAAATTCTTGAAAATCTTGCTACAAGTTTCTAATTAATCTTCCAAGACTTTAGCATAACTAGAATTAGGCTGCGTTTTTCTTGGGACATGATTAAGGTTTTCTCCTCTTAGAGATGTTGACATTCTGGAAAAAAATCCAGAGAAGAGCAACAAAAATAATATGGGAACTGGAGATTAAAACATATGAAGAATTGGGTATGTCTAATCTAATGAAAAGAAGAAGGACTAGGAGTGACATGATTGCAGTGTTCCAATATCTAAGGGGTTGCCACAAAGAAGATGGAGTCAAGCTATTCTCCAAAACACCTGAAAGCAGGGCAAGAAGCAGTGGATGCAAACTAATCAAGGAGAGAACCAACCTAAAAACAAGGAGAAATTTCCTGACAGTGAGAACAATTAACCAATGGAGGTTTTTTTTAGGAAAAAAAGCTATTGGACGGCTATTTATCTGAAATGGTATGGGGTCTCCTGCATGAGCAGGAGGTTAGACTAGACCTCCAAGGTCCCTTCCAACTCTTATTCTGTTAAATCTACTGGTGAAGTGTGTTAGTCTTGCCTTGCTGGACAGGTTTTCTTCTGACAAATTAATGATGATTTGGCACATTGCAGTCTTACTTTATCAACACTACCTGTTTTGGGGCTTGGTAAAACCAGAGGTGCTATTCAACAGGTTCTGACAAGTTCTGGAGAACTGGTAGTGGAAATTTTGAGTAGTTCGGAGAACTGGTAAATATCACCTCTGGCTGGTCCCAGAGTGGGGCGGGAATGGAGATTTTGCAATCTCCTTCCCCCAGGAGTGGGGAGGGAATGGGGATTTTGCAGTATCCTTTCCCTGGAATGAGGTGGGAATGGAGATTTTGCAGTATCCTTCCCCTGCCACACTCACCAAGCCATGCCCACAGAACCGGTAGTAAAAAAAATTGAATTCCACTACTGGGTAAAACCCTGATTGAACGAAATTAGAGAATTTGGGATTTAACTATCCAAAATGCCAGGGACAAAGTCTTCCATCACTTTTATAACACAATTGCTTCTCCTCCCTGGTCTATCACAAAATATTTCTTTATCATGTTATGTGCTCCACGCAGGAGACTATTTAATTTAGCCTGAATTGGAGTACTTCCTATTAGGACAACAACCAGTAGATATATATGGCTCCTCTATGAAAACTGACTTTATTTCAGTTCAGACACAGAGGTAAAATCATGTGCTATTAAAATATCTATTGTACACCCAATGGCAAACAAGTCTGATATTTCCAATGGTTAATCAATCTAATTACTACTGTGACTATTACCCTTTTTCTTGAGTGACTTCTCTTCAAAAACTTCTAAGAAAGTTGCAAAATTCCTATTGATAGCTATATTTGTTACAAACCATCTGACTAGCATTTTCTCTCAATTGTTAACTTATTTATTGTAATGTATGCAGTGCCTTTATTGTATTTGGTTTTGGAATATAATTAAATAGTGATTGATTTTTTGGTTTGGCCTTGCCTTTTTTCCCTAGAGCTAGAGCTAAGAGAGAAGGACTGCCCAGGGACTAAAGTAGGATTAGAACTCATAGTCACCCAATTTTTGTCCTACTGCTTTAACCACTACACTAGACTAACCCTCTCCTTCATCTATCATCTAATCATATATCATATATATCACACATCACACATCACAATTCACAACACATCAAGCATAGATCAGTTACGTCATATACTCTATCAATTACATATTGCATATCAGTCATATCTTACGTATCTCATATCACATATATCACATATCATATCTTCAGGGACTGGTTGCATAATCAAACCTTCTGAATTCACAGAATCACCTTGGAGGCTCTGAGAAACTCAGCCTCATATCTAAGCTGCTAACAAACATTCATGCCTGTCCTGTGCCCTGGCATATTTCTGGGTCTTGAAAAGAAGCCTGCACAGTAGGAGCCCCTGAAGTTTAATTCTTTGAAATAAAAACAATCCCAGGTATTCTTAAATAGGGTGGTGCACACTTCAAAAATGTTTCTGAAGAAGTGCTTCAGACTCATCCAAGCATATCACCTTTCTGCTATTCATTAATTGCAGCCTGACCTTTTGCAGCCTGGGAAAAAAAAATGTTACTCCTTTCAGGAATTTACCCACCAAAGTTAACACAGTGACACCTCTCCCCTCCCCATCTTACTCAGGAGGAAGCCTGAAAAAAAAGGTCAAATTCCTTTAATGAATAGAAGAAAGTTCTCATGCAAAGTTTGACACATTTCCACCAAAGCATGTTCAAAGCATGCGTTGTTGACGCTTTTTGAAAAGGGGAAGCAAAATAAACCTCCATCATATTTTTTCTGCATTATTGGCATGCAAAATATTGGAACTTGTGAACTCTTGGCTTTAGGCATTCATGGTTAACTAATATTCAGCAAATTAAGTATAAGTTTTACCAAGCACAGAAATGTAGGATTCTGCATAAGTGGTGCTTTTTTTAAAAAAAAAAACTAAACCCTCTTTGAAGTTTATAGTTAAGTTGAAATTTCAAGGCCAGGTATGAGGGACTCAGAATAAGATTTTTCCTCAACAGCTCCTTCAAATCTGTATTCATTTGACACTCTTTAGACAAGCTGTTCAAGGTTGGTACCTGCCTGATTTTGAGTGAAATACAATACAATTCCTTCCCACAGCTATAATTTGACCCTCAGGGCTGCCTGCCGGGTCATTTCTGCTTTCTCGTCTGTCACCAGTTTCGCTTGATGAGAAGCTTCCAAATGTAAAGTACAGAAGGGCAAATTTCAACATAATGAGACTTGGTAAACAGAGAAGCACAATGGCAAGAACATCCATTTAAGGATTCCACTGAATAGCTTTGTAATTTGTCGGCTGTCAACTTTAAAAAAAGAAGAAGAAGAAGAAGAAAAACAAGGACAAGTCTTTTGCACAATTTCCTATTAATTTCTTATCTCTTTTCAGGGAAATTAGGACCATTTTTTTTTTCTGTCTGATTTCTGAAGGTTTCTCCTCATAAGGGAAATAATGATGTGCTGCCGTCAGTCACATGATTCAGTATGGATTATGTGTACCTTCCTGGTTGAATAATGTACTTGCAGCAAGCAAAGGGAAATGGAAGAGAAGTCTATAGTGATGTTTCTCAATCTCAGCAACTTTAAGAGATATAGACTTCAATTCCCAGAATTCCCCAATGAGTCTTCCTGGCTGTGGAATTCTGGGAATGGAAGTCCACATGTCTTAGTGGCCAAGGTTGAGAAACAATGGTTTAGAGAATGGGTTAGGCCAGGGGTGTCAAACTTGCGTTGCCATGTGACGTATCGTGACTTTTCCCCCCTCGCTAAAATGGGGTAGGCATGGCGAGCGTGTGATGCATTCGGCCTGCAGGCCGCGAGTTTGACACCCCAGGGTTAGGCGTAAGGCAATTCATGGCTGAGCTTAAGAAGTCTATCAATGTAATTGAATGAAGAAAAAACAATAGGCTACAGGTTGTCCTCAACTTATGACCTCAACTGAGCCCAAAATTTCTGTTGATAAGCAACACAGTTGTTAGGGGAGTTTTTCCCCATTTTATGACCTTTCTTGCCACTGTGGTTAAGTGAATTACTGCAGTTGTTATGTTAGTAACATAGCTCTTAAGTGAATCTGGCTTCCCCATTGAATTTCCTTGTTGCAAAAGGTGATCACATGACCCTGGGACACTGCAACCATCATAAATACATGCGAGTTGCCAAGTGTCTGAATTTTGATCATGTGACCGTGGAGAGGCTACAATG